TTTTCATAGAAAAGAGCACATTGTCCCATATTTTCTGTCTACCCAACATCAATACTAGCAGGTTCTGCTACTGGCTGGATCTCTGTTCACCAGCTGCCCACCCACCCGTGGTGAGTGAGAGGCTTAGTGGTTGACGATGGAGTGGGTGTATACAGAGCCTTCTTTACCTATACCCAGAATATGCAGCTGCATAGGGCACTTGAAAATTTGGGACTCTACTGGGTCTTAATGTCCACCTACTTGCTTCTTCTTATCCCTGTTTTGTGGCTCTTCTTCCTTTGGAGACAATCTAGTTAACTTAAAAGTGAAAAAACCTACCAGATCTATCAGCAAATATTGAAACCATGAAAGAGCTATTCAAGTGATAATGAAGCCATTTAACAAGCATTTATCAGCCCCAGGTATATGCTGTCAGTTTCTGAATTTACTATATTAATCTACAGGACTTTAGTTTAAAATTTGCTTTAAAAATCCATTAGCGTGTTGCTGAGGATTATAAAATCACTTCTGTAAAAAATTGTCATTCCACCCCACCCGATTCCTGTCTGGCAGAGGGGCACCAGTTTAATAGTACTGTGTAAGACCCCATAAATCCTAAGGACATTCCTGTGTGTGCAAGGTTGGTGGCAGGGCAAAGATCTCAGCCAGCAGGGCCCTGCCCTCATCCCGTTTCTGGCTGGTACTGGCTGCACACTGAGAGCTGTGGTAGCAGGTGCCAGGCAGGTGCCAGGCAGTGGCTGGTTATGTGGTACTTCTGCTGCACATTCATCGGCCCTTTATGTGCTCCCCCTCACTGTCCTGTCCTTGCTTTGATCCTTCGCCCCTCTAGCCCCACTGCTCCTTCATATCCCCCAAAGTGGAATATGTCCTGTTCCGAGCGCTGTGCGGAGAGCCAGCTACTGGCTGGAGCTCTCAGCTCACCAGCAGCCCGGCCATCAGGCTCCTTCCTTGCCCACTGCCTGTGGCTGGGCCAGAGCCTTGGGAAAGCCCACTACTCTCCAACCTGGGGTGCTGGCCAGGAGGAGCCACGTCCTGTCTGTGCCAATGCCTTGCACTGCGCTGGCATGGGGTAGCCTCCCTCCCCCTCAGCTAAATTCAGGAGCAGGAAGGGAGAAGCAATTTCCATCCTGTTTGTGTCTTAAACTTGCAAGCAGGGCCCTCCCTAGGATGGTGCAGGCAGGCCCAGGATGATTCCTCTGCTGCCCCAGGCCCTGCCCCCACCTCCTCCTGCTTCTGCTCCGCCCTTGCCCCCTCACTCCTTCCCTTAAATCCCACCCCTGCTCCACCCAACATCTTCCCTCCCCCTCTCCGCTCTGCCTTCTCCTGCCCCCATTGCACCCCTTCCCTGGAGCTCCCCTCCCCTGAGCTACATGACATAGAGGATTTACCGGGGGGAGGGGAGGTGTTGCAAGGTGGAAGTAGGGGTCAGGCTGCTGCACTCACCGCAGTGGCAGAAGCTTCAGAAGCAGAGCGATCGGGCTAGGAAATGGCGGAGCTGCAGCGCCACTCGGCTTCCCACAGCTCCTGCCACTATGGTAAGTGGAGGGAGCTCACTCCTCCTGCTTGCATCAGGTCCCTCAAGAAATCTCCCAGTTCGCCCTTGACCCCACAGATCAAGGGTGGAGTAAACTTCAGTATGGAGGGCTGCCCCATAAAATGACTGGGGCAGCCACTGCAGAGGCCCAGGGCAGCCCTCCCAAACTGTCCTATGGATGGGATGGCTCTGCCTACAGGCTCCACAGCAGCCCCCTGAGCAGAGGCTTAGCATCTTCTTCACTTGTCCCTTCCCACCACCAGTCTGGGTCATTCCCACAAGGAGCACAGGGCTGCTCTATCTCTAGGCATCCTCCCCCTGCTGAGCCCCTCTTACCAGGTACACTGAAGCCACTGCAGTCAGGTTCCCTGGCCCTGGTGCACAATGGATCCTTAAGGCTTCACCCTTTCAGATCCACGCTGAATCTGGAAGACAGGAAACAGCTGGATTACATCAGTACAGGTTGGACCTCCTTGATCTGGCACCCTCGAAAACTGACTGATTCCGAACAAGGGGATTTTCCAGATCAGGGGAGGTCCCTGCCACTGGCCTCCTGGCCTGCCACTCCTCCCGGCTACTGGCTCCCCCTTGCCTCTGGCCCGCTCCCCCCGC